AAACGTTTGGGTTTTTTAAAAGAGATTGAAATGTAAGATGTAAATATAAATTATGTTATAATTTGAGTAACTTACTTGAGTAGATTTGGATGCATCCTTTGTCTTAGCATGGACAGTGACTGACTGACCTCTCCCTATACCCTGTACACCTATATAGCCACAATCAGGGAAGAATCCATATTAATCTAAAATTTTCAAAATATAATGAATCGCCCCATTAAAAGCAAAAAGGTACAAAAGTGACATTTTCATGTTTTCGAGAAAATCGCGTATAAAGATTTGAAGTTCCATATCAAATCAGGTTTTTACAACATGTCAAAGAAACTTCCCCACATATATTTAGATAATAAAATTATTTAAATGTTACATGCCCAAAAAGTTGGAAAGCTTTAAATATATTTACTTATAAGTGATAATTAATCAATTAAAGGGAATGGTTCCTTTTTGCACTAATAAAATATTTTGAACGACAAATTGCAAGAAGGTACCATATGATCGGCTTGGCCCCTTTTTGCATTGTATGATTTTTTAACATTTGCTGTCGAATATATCAAAAAAGGTACCATATGGCAGTTTGGGCACCTTTTTGTCCCAATAATACTAACAAAAACATCATTTGGATACAGTTTTATTCTAAAATGATGCAAATAATAATATGAAATTCTTGTGTTTTCAGTAAATGTCTGATACAACTATCACACTGCATGTTTTTAAAATCTTCCTTTGTGGTCAATTTCAATGTCTACGTCAAAATCTCTTACATCGTTAGTCAAAATCAGAATCATTCTTATCCGATTCCATCGTGACATAACCCTTTTCTTTCCTGTATGTTGCCTAAGTGGCATTATAATTATGGAACTCTTTTGGGATAATTTCCTTTGCACACGAAGTAACCAAGTCATTTGTCTTTTGAATAGAAACTGGCGATTTGGTATTTGGTATCTTTTTCACCACTGATACTTTCTGTCTGTCTAGATTCTGTATTCTGAACTTCTATTTCCATAAAATCTTCAGCATTGTAGCTGTTATTTACAAATACTGACTTTGGGTTTTCCTTTGGTACCTGTATCCATTTCACCTGTAGCAAGTTTACTCTTTGTACTTCAACGGATGTTTTGGGTCTCGGACACTGTTTTTTTTTAATGAAATATTTGAAATCAAAAGCATGGCTATATTTCATTGGCACAGCAATTTATGGCTGTGATTTTCTGGTCAGTGATATAAGAGAACACAACTGAATGATACATAATTATACAGGAATTATTTACTTTGCCCCATCAAGAGTCAAGTTGTCACTCCATCTGTGAGTGACCCGATACAAGAAATTTGTGATGACCAATCTTAAACTTGGAACTTGTGATTATATAAAGACGCAGCTACGAATCAATTTCTGTTTTGTCCCCCGTATGAATCTTAAAAATATATGACTTATTTGACATTACCACTCTGGCAAGTAAAAAAGGGTTTTTTATTAAGCAGGAAGCTATTTCACATGCCTCTATTTGCAGTTGGTTTTATCCAATACATGACATACAACATTTTTGTCTCATAAGGAATATACTGTCAAGTTGTGTAGCAACAGAGTTTTCTTGAATAGTAAAGCTCACTCACTAATGAGCAAGGGGTTGTTACAACGGCCTTGAGATCAAAACATGCAACATAAACGCATGTGTCACCTTTTATTTTTAACCTTTTCTTCTTGTGAATGTTCCATCTGTTTTTGATGTTCAATATATTTTTCCTTGCTCGTGCCATCTAGTGTGCCTTCTGCCTTCTTCTATTGTACAGTGTACATAATGAACATTGGTTTTTTTTTTGGTTTGGAAAATGATTGGTTGTAATTTTCACAAAAGATACAGGTTTTATTTCCTTCTTTTCAATTTCAATAGTTTACAGTTTCTACATCTTTTAATGTTGAAGTCATAGTCATGAGAAAGGTATTGTTTCTTTTAGAATTTTTTCTTGTATAATGAGATTCCATTTTAGGAAATTACCCTTTATGGTGTTTCACCAATTTAACTGTATCATAATCTTGTTTATTTGCAGATGTACACTTCCCTGTCATGTTTCTCCTTCCTGTACCTCATGTTTCTTGTTGGCAAGAGTATAGTCAATTACTTTTCTTTTCACGTCCAAGTTTTTGTGAAGGAGTCATTTATACACTATCATTATCTTCACACTGTTATCATTCCTCAATTTAAAACAGAAACAATATTTTGTTATATTTGATGTCCTTATCAACATCTAGATTGTGTATTCATTAAAAAGCTAAAAGGTACCAAGTTAGCAATTTAATATATAAAATAATCTTAAGGTAGGTAAATTATTTGTGTGCACATGGTTCCTTTTTGCATTAAAATAAGTGCTCAAAACTAATATAGTCATTCAATGTAAACAGGTACTATGTGACACTTGGTACCTTTTTGCTCAAACTGGTATACATATGGTACCTTTTTGCATTATTAAATGAGAAAATAATTACATTGTACCTTTTTACATAACCTTATATGTCTGTTAATAAACATGATACTACAGAGATATTTCTACAGATTAAAGATAACATTAAAACATAATGAAAAATGTTAAAAAGTAACTTTTGGCCAAACTGTCGCTTGGTACCTTTTTGCTTGAATGGGGCGAAATTATGTTATAAGAATATTTTCCAATCCTTCTGACCAGTTAACTCACTTCCGAACATTTTTTAGTTTTACATTTACTGAGCATTAATGAAGGTGAAATTAAATGTAAAAAAAACATTTCTTTTCTGGTAAAAACATAAATACATTTCAAGATTCAAGAATCACGCGTTATTTTGTACATTGTCGAAACTAACATAATCTGTATTTTATTCCTTGCCATTTTATCTGACCGTTTGTTAACATTTATTATGCCTATCTTAAATAATAAATATAATCAATACAAGTGCGATATAGGTCTACTTACATACAATCTTAGTCATTATGTTTTTATCACTGCTTGTGGGCAAAGGATACCTTTCATCTAAAAAACAAGTTGGCATATAAATTAAAAGAACGGCCATTACAAAGCAAAGGTTTGTTATGACACAGCTGCGTTAAAAATAAATACTGAAAATTGAAAATGAACAGAATGTTCGTTTTATGAAATTAGTATGTGTTTCCTGTACTGTTTATATAATGTTGATGTTGTTTGAAAAACATTACATTATCGCAGCGGCAAATAACAAGGATAGGTTTGAAATTGCAGAAAATAACTCTCAACATTGCTACATGTGCATTTTTATTGGACTTGCCAATTATTTTTAACACAACTAATGAATGTACCAAGCCTTGTCTTCCAAACATTGCTTTATATAAGTCTTAATGTAAATGGCTTATATTTTCAAATGAATTTTAAAGCTCCTTATACAATATCTACCATTGCAAGTTCAGTTCATGCTCTAGATCTCAATAGTACTTATTATCAATATTATATAATGAATATGGTATGAAAAATAGTTGTTTCCAACCCAGTATCCTTCTCTTCGATAAACATTAAAATAATTCACACCCCGAATAGGTGTGAGTTAACATTATATAACAAACAATTTCAATGAAAAAAAGAACCAATCTCTAATCTGCTACAAACTTGAATAAAATTTTAGATATGAAAAGAGGCACTTATCATTTTGAAAAGTATTTTAGCTTCATTTTTTATTTGCCATTCTCAAATTATATTATTATTTCACATTGTGTATTTACTCTTAAGAATGCAACCGTCTATGTTAATTTAGATCGATTAGATTATCAATTCTCCTTATTAGTCTTATATTGATTGATGAGATTAATCATTACAAGTAGGTTATATGCATACTTACAGACAGTTTGTGCCATAATGTTACTATCACTGGTTATGGGCAATGGATAATGTTCATCTTAAAGAAACAAAGGCTATATAAATAGAAATGTCCTTTACAATACAAATGCCTGTCTCATATACAATTGTGTTATATAATAAATTTATGATGTAATGACTTAATATAAATTGAAAAGAATGTTTGTTTTATTCAATTACCACAAAGTTTTATAAAATGATGTTACTGTATGCTTATTCATACATATCTGTACATGGTAATAACAATTACAGATAATGACTCTCAATACAGGCTCGTTTGAATCTCTTGTTGGGCCTCCTTTCAGCGTGTTATATTTTTCTAGTCCTTCGGAATCATTGCCTCAAGCACTATTAAGTATTGAGAATTGAGTTGCTTGGGGCGAGGGAATGTTGCACCTTTTTATTGTCCCTCATGTACAGACTCAATTAATTTTCTGTAATTTTCACTATTTTCCTAGATTTTGTTAATTTTGTGAATAAATAATTTTTTTTGTCAATGAAATGCCGATGTGTGACGTCTAATTTTAAAATGCTATAAATATTCCGACTTAATTATCAATCTATTTATCTTGAATCATATCTTTTTACTATTTTCTTATACTTATCAACCAATTTAAATGACAGGTGAAGAATAATGTTCAAGTATTAGTAATATCTTTTTAAATAATTACTCCGTACACAACATTTTCAATTACACGAAAAAGTTAAACAGTTATCTCGATAGTGTTCATTAAATTATAATTTCATGTTATATTCAATCTTACCTCTGACGGCTGTTATTTTAAGCTGGAAACCATAATCATTAGTATTCACACTGGTCCGATGCAGTGTCAAAGTCAAACTTCTTTGGTTAGTAGTATACACATATGGGTTATCACCACAGCTGTATCTGACCACCATTGTTTGCATAATAAAAATATTTTCTTTTTATTCAGTTCGAAGATGCAGAAAATCTGTTACAGTTTACTAATGTGATAGTTTTTAGTTTTTGGATATCCTCTCGGAAACGAACTCATTAGTTTTAAGTCTAAATGCATTTCACTGCCTGTTTGTTAACAAAACTTCTTGATTTGTTAAAGAAATTGAAATGTAAGATGTAAACAATTCTTGTAAAATATAACTAATGCTTGTTAATTTGAGTAACTTACTTGAGTAGATGTGGATGCATCCTTTGTCTTGGCACGGACAGTTATTGACTGACCTCTCCCAATAAACTGTACACCTATATAGCCACAATCAAGGGAAGAATCCATATAATCTAAAAAAAAAAGAAAATAAATTATACAAGAAGAGCATTTACCATCCTTGTGATCAATTATATTAAAATAACTAACCTTTGGTTTTACAATTACTGAGAATAACTGCGGGTGGCCTTTGATGTAAATAAAGTTTCATTTCTGGTACAAACTTATATACATTTCAAGATTCAAGAAGTACGTCTACTTACAGACACTCTTAGTCGTCATTATGTTACTATTACTGCTAGTGGGCAAAGGATACCTTTCATCTACAAAAAAGTATTAATATCAATAAAAGAATGACCCTTTACAACGCAAAGGTTTGTTACGACACAGCTGCGTTAAAAAACAAAATGAAAATTGAAAATAAACAGAACATTCCTTTTAAGAAATCAGTATGCCTGAATATAATGTTGATGTTTATTGCAAATATAATCATAAATGCAGCGATAAGTAACATGAATATGTTTAAAATTGCAGAAAGTAACTCTCAAATGTGCTTCATGTGCATTTTAGTGGCTGATTTACACCATGTCGTATTTTCGCTTCATCATCTCAAATGTGAAAATGCGAAAACCTGAAGGGACGACGTCGTCTCTTCGTGTTTCCTCTTTTTCGGATTTTCCAGGCTAAAAATCGAAAAAAACGACAGAAGAAGGGCAAAAATACCAAACACAAAATCTGTGATATATTCGCATTCCATCTGCCGTATTTTTGCTTCTTCGCGTTCAAAATGCGAAAAGATGGAGAGACGACAAAGTATAACTTTATCGTCTCTTCGAATTTTCGCATTTTTACATTTTCGCATCGTTGCATTTTCGCTTTTTTTGCATTGTTACATTTTCGCTTTTTTTGCATTGTTACATTTTCGCATTGTTGCATTTTTTATTTTTCGCATTGTTACATTTTGTTAAATGTGATAGAATGTACTTGTGGATGATATGTTTATCATATTTTATGCATAGTTGCTGCAGGCGAAAATATGAAAATGTAAAAATACAACAATATGAAAAGGCAAAAACATAACAATGCAAAAACGTCAAAAGACAACAATGTGAAAAAGCTAAAACACAACAATTCGAAAAAGTCAAAATGCAACAATGCGAAAAAGCTAAAGTACGAAAGATGAACAGATTTTACGTGTAATATTGTCGCCCTTCTTTTGTCGTTCTTTCGCCTTTTCGCCTCGAAAATCCGAAAAAGCGAAGAGACGACAAAGTCAACTTCAGTTCTTTGGTGGTTTTATGAAATAAGTATGTGCTTCCTTTAAAGTGTATTTAATGTTGATGCTGTTTGCAAATTTATATACATAATTGCAGCGGTAAATAACATGAATGGGTTTGAATTTACAGAAAGTAAAGTAACTCTAAACATTTGTTTCATGTGCAGTTTTATTGGGCTTTTAAATTATTTTTATTAAAATTGATAAATTTATATATTAGTCAAAGAAAAGGAACAATGTGCCGCTTTATTGGCATAACAATTCCAATTTTTATGATCAGCATTTTCTGTACTGAAACATTTCCTCTAAACATTTTTGATACAAGTCAATCCATCTTAATGACAGGTGAAGGATTAATTGCTTATACATGTACTTTCAAAAACAAAATCTACCATTGTAAGTTCAGCTCACGCTATACAGTCAATATAACTCATTATCAATATAATACAAATAATATTATACAAAACATCCCTCTCTTCGACAAACAGTAAGAATGGGTTTACGTTACAATATGTAACAAACAATTTCATTGCATATTCTGTTACAAAAAGTGAATACATTTTTAATATTCCATAGGCACTTATAATTTTATACAGTATTTGCCCAAACAAACAGAAGCTGAATATTATTCCTTGCCATCCTCGCATGATATTATTATTTTACATTGTATAATAAATCATCCTTAAAGACTGCTACCGGTTATATTATGCTAAATTAATCAAAACAAGTACGTTATATGCATACTTACAGACAGTTGTTGTCATTATGTCACTTTCACTGGTAGTGGGCAATGTATATTGTTCATCTAAAAAAAGGAAAATCATATAAATTTCCCTTACAAATCAAAAGTCTGGCTCATACAAAACTGTGTAAGTAGTATTCGGCCGAGTCTTATATGATTTTGAATAAGACGCATGATTTACTGTGGTATGACTCGATTTATTTTGCGATTCGTCAATAAAAACTCAAGTCCATAAAAACGTTCACATACATAAGCTTTATGACAGGCTTTTTGCAAAACTTTTTTATTTATATTTTCTTCAAATGGGAAGGCAATGTTTTCATATCTTCGTATACAAATAATGGACCGTGCAACTGTCTGTAGTTAGCGAGATTTAATCATGCGTTATCATGTTGTCTCATCTTAAGGGAAACTAGCTGTTTCGCATTTGGACAAAACGCATCGGTGTAAGAGCTGTTGCATTGCACTTCCCTAAAAATACACCATATACCATATACATATACGAGGGTTGTTCGGAAAGTTTTGAGACAATATGATTTTCTCTATTTCTAATTACAGCTGCGAATATTATTTAATACAAATTATAGCTTAATATGTTATTTATCCGAGTTATGTGTTTAAAACGTTGTAACGTTACTTTACGGCATATAATCGTTTTCATAGCAACACCTCACTACGCATCCTGGCGCACGGACTATTTTCTTGTTATAAGTTTTCTTACTGAATAAAAAGAGCCCCTAAAATTGCGCCAAACGTAACGAAAATTTTATGACGTCACTTCCAACTTAAGGACGTCATTTCCGCTAGTTGTTTAAGCCGTTACCGCAGATCATTATAGCAATACGTGCGCGACAAGACAACGACTATGGAAACACCGTCAAAAGAGGAACAGCGTATTTTTATTAAGTTTTGCGTTAATCTTGGGAAAACGCCAACAGAAACTAAGCAACTTCTAGAACAGGCAAACGACGGACGTACTGTTAGTCGACCATTGGTATTTAGATGGCATAAAGAGTTTCGGGATGGCAGAAAGTCAACAAAAGACAAGGAAAGGAGCGGTCGCCCATCCGTCATCGACAATAAACTGATACTTGCAAGAAACGCGCTTCAGTGCGACCGTCGCATAACAGTAAGAGAAGTTGCAGAAGTTTGTGATGTAGGTACGGCAACTGCTCACAAAATGTTAACTAAGACACTTGCAATGTCTCGGGTTTCGGCCCGTTGGGTACCGAGATTATTGACGGCTGATCAGAAAGAAAACCGAGTAAAAGCATCTCGACAGTTTCTACGTTCATACCAGAGAGAAGGCGACGCGTTCTTAGGACAGAATTATTACCACCGACGAGAGTCCTGGTTTTACTACTTACGACCCAGAAACAAAGTCGCAGTCTTCAGTTTGGAAGCACACGTCGTCTCCACCCCGAAGAAAGCACGTGTAACCAAATCCGTTGGGAAACATATTTTATTCTATTCATGAACCGGGGAAGGGGATTGCTGTTAACACATTGCTGTACCGAAGGGAGAAGACGGTGAACGCTGACCATTACTGCAGGGTGAGTAATTATGTTTAACTTTATTTAACATGAAAATAATTAAAAATAAATATATAAATAATATAGATAATTAAATTGATTACTTACTTAATTATTAAAATAATTATTTGAAATTAATTCACCTGTATCTGTATTAAGTACGAGCTCCGATATTTTCTGTTTAAGGTAATCACACGGGAACTGAATCAACGCTATCCGTAAGAAGCGGCCGGAAATGCTTGCGAATCTGAGGGAGAACATCTACCTACATCAAGACAATGCGCCTGCGCATACAGTATCTGCCACTTCTCTGGAACTTGATGTTCTCGGGTTTAACCGCATCGCTCACCCACCCTACTCACCCGACCTGGCCCCAATGACTTTTCCCGTTTTTCCGGCCATCAAAATCCGAACTACGAGGAATCCGGTTTGAGACCTAGTTGAACTGCGCTCTAGAGTTATGAGCATTATTGCAACATTTAAATCTGACTGGTATAGAAATGTATTCGCTAAGTGGGTTACGAGACATGAGACATGTGTACGTTGTGAAGGAAAATACTTTGAAAAGGAGTTGCAGTTGACTTTTCTACGGTGACGTTAAACTCTGGAAATAACGGCAATGTCGGATAACGTCGTTGCGTGCGCCGGGTCACCGGTAGTGTCTGTGCCTAACGCTTTGTAGCTTTTGTTTACATGAAGCTATTGTTATGAATTTTTACACTATATTAGATGAGGTATTAAAGTAATACATAGTAAACTCTTGTTTGATTTTATCTTTTCCAACGCTAAATATTGACCCAGTCTCAAAACTTTCCGAACAACCCTCGTACATATATCAATTTGTTGACTTTTAATAACTAGGAAACAAGTTCGTTCTAATGAAATTTATCTTTAAAAGTTTTGTATTATTCTTTTGTGTTGATTTGGATAGTGCAGTGCGGATATAGTTCTGGTTTCAAAAACTAAAATAGCCGCATTTTATATAGTAAAGCGTGGTTACACGTGTGCAGATTTGGTAAGGGTCGAATGCCTTTAATGTCTTATATAATAGGTGTATGCTCAATTTTGATGTTTTATCGTTGGTCATTTGCTTATAAAAGTTTATAAATCGTTTAATCGGAAAATGATTAATTAATTAATGTTCAAGGCATTGTGATGAACCATTACGAGCTACACCGTCTATATATAAATAAAATCCGTATGGTGTCGGATTTCTGGCACATCACGACGTTGACTGCCCTATCACAGTATTAAACGAGTACTACTAGTGTGAACGCCGTGGACGCTTCCCCTTTACTTTCAACAACTGCGCAGATCTAAACAGATATTTGTCTAGATAGCATCTTAAGAGTATGCAGTACAAAGCTGACCATTAATTCCTTCGCTGCCATTATATATGCGTGCGTAAAACATTTCTTGAAAAATAAATTCATGGTTGATGACTCAATATAGATTGAAAAAAAAAACAACAGAATGTTCGTTTTATTCAATTTATAATACTAATTTCCACGACCATTAATAAAATGTTGTTGTTGTATGCACACTCATACAAATAGAGAATAACAGGTTACTGTCTTTTGAGAAAGGGTTTCTCAGACGAGGTTAGATATGGTCCTGGAAGGGGCGAGGCTTGCCGAGCCCCTTTCCGGACCATATCTAGCCGAGTCTGAGAAATCCCTTTCTCAAAAGACAATAACCTGTTATTCTTTTTATCAAGCCTCTATTATGATTTTGCATCTTATTTTTTTAATTCGGGGCGCTAATTTCTGAAAGTACGGTAACCACAAGAGGGTTATACGCCAAAAAAGTAGTCCGAGGGTTTTTACCAATAATTTTATAACACAACACAATTTTTGGTACAATTTGCTTTAACAATTTATTTACTGTGTATTATCATAAATATTCAGCAAAGTCAATTAAACAATACCAACAATAAACATCATCAGTGCTGATCTGGCGTAGGAACATAGTGTTCTCAAGTCACTGACTGAGAAAGGTTGCTGTTCTCAGACAGGCTTTATCAGGCAGTTGTCATAGTAATGGCATGATAAATTTACAGCGGTTAATAGCAATTACAGATAATGACTCTAAACACAGCTGCATTTGAATCTCTTGTTAGACTTAATAATTCTTTTTCAATTTAATTGACAGGTGAAAAATAATGTCCACATAATATCTTGTTAAATAATTATTCCGTTCACAGCATCTTCCATTACACAAAAAAGGTAAACAGTTACCTCGATAGTGTTCAGTAAATTATAATTTATGTTATATTTAATCTTACCTCTGACGGCTGTTATTTTAAGCTGGAAACCATAATCATTGGTATTTACAGTACTCCTATATAGTGTCAAAGTCACACTTCTTCGGTAAGTAGTATACACAGATGGATTATCACCACAGCTGTATGTGGTCTGTATTCAAAAGAAAGAATATGATATAGCAATCAACTTTATGTTCAAGCACCTAGTGCCGCCCTTTTCATTTTAAAAGGTAATGATTTTTTATTCTCGCGATGAAACCTTCAGCGACATTGAGTATTAGGTTTTGCACTTTTAACTCTTTCAATATTCATTTTAGCTGTTTTAGTTGTTCGTTGGAGATTCCCTATTCTTTCCTCGAGAGAATCACCTCTCCATGTCAGGTTTAGATCATCAGGGGACTTTACGTTATTTGCACAAGTTTATTTTGGAAAACTCCCGTTATGATCACATTATTATACAAACGAAACTCTAAATGTTGAGAAAATCATTGCTTATTAACATGTTCACGTTTATTTCAACCTACCATTTCACCACCTCCATCTCCAGATAGATACAGTTTCACATCACAATCATTGACAATAAAGCTTTCAAAGTCAACTCTTATTGTGGCATTATTGTCAGCTGTTTGAAAACTTATTGTACACCCAGTCTGAAATGAAAGGGACAAATGTTGATTTAGAATTTGGCACAATGTAGGTATATTTCATTCATTTTAAAGATGTTGAAAACCTGTTTAAATAACTTAATCAATTATCGATGATAGCTTTTTGGATTTAAGTATTCTAATTGCAAATACATTATATAATAAATTGCATAAAGTAATCTGTAACTATTTATGATATTCTCATCCTTTCTTTATAAAAGAACAAGATATAAATTGTCCAAAAATAAATTTTCTAGAACTACACATCATCAATTATATACAATAGTATATTGTTACATTGAAAGAATAATATATTTGAAACTCAGAAATATGTTTTGCTTGATTCATAACTTATATGAGTAACTTACTTGAGTAGATGAGGATGCATCCCTTGTCTTAGCATGGACAGTGACTGACTGACCTCTCCCTATCTCCTGGAATCCTATATAGCCACAATCAAGGGAGGAATCCATATAATCTAAAATTAAAAGTTACAAATACAATAATATTTACAGGTACGTAAGTAGGATATTATAATAACCTCTAAATTTACTTAATTTAACATTGCCGAATAAGAATGTTTCAGAAAAAAATACATTATCTTTAACAGACACATTTTTACACTTGGCAAAAGACAATAAGATTTGAATTGAAATAGTCTTAACAATATTTACAGAGATTGTTAGTGCTTATATCAACTTCTACATATCTACTATTCATTGTATCCACACTCAAGGGAAGAATCCATATGATCTTAAATTATATACAGAATGATATTATTATGAAATTATGAAATTTTTTTTTCCAGTTCTGACAGTGATCCTGATTATGCTTTTTTTGTTTTAATTAAAGTAATCATGGATATGAAATTTCTTATCTGAATACATTGTAGTACGTAAAAGATCTATACATACAATCACTTTTAGCCATTGCGAATGTGTTTCTTAGCAACAAACAAAAAGCAATTATAGCAAAGGAAGCTTCCATTTCTTTTCTTCCCTTTCTTTTTATGATACACATCAATATATGAGTCCCCTGTAAGTACCAATAACATTTTCGTACACTAACACATTAAGGATTTTTTGTTTATCTTTACGAAAGTACATCAACATAGATTACAATAGTAACTATATATCCGTAAGATTCTGCTATAAAAGCGTGACTAATCAAAGGGTATCTTCTTGGAGCACATTAAGTAAATAGTTGACACACCTGAAACATTGACAGGACTTAGTGGAGAGGCATTCGGCATTTTTTTTACATGATTTTATGATTCACATGATTCTATGCCAATCTATTTTACGGTCTTAGCAACATCTCAAAAAACTATATACGAATCTTAGTCATTAAAATCACTAATTATCACTGCATATGTCAAACATGTATGGCTATCTTCAACACAAAATCGCCATGTGCCGCTAAACTCTTTTTTTAACACACAATTTACAGGATATACTTCACAGCGTAAGCTCGTTTCTGGAAGAGTTCAAAGTGTTCTCAACCATTGAACACTTTTTGTGATGATATTGAATATTCTGTTTTAACACCCCAGTCGTCTCCAGATATCCAGAAACCTATTATTTTCCATTACATCACTGAATATGCAAAAAGCTGATAAAACACCTACTAAATTGCAAGTTAAAATTCCAACATAGAAAGATTATCACTGACAGAGGGATTATTATAACTGATTAATGTTTTGGTTTCTTAAGTTTTCCATATCCATATACATATATAGCAAATTTCCAATATATCAGACCATATATCACATTATAACTACGTACTACAATTATAAAGTATTCTTTAAGTACGCGACTTTCACTGCATAAAAGGTGACTTACAGTTAGGTTTATGCTTTACATATATGTTCAAACTAAATAAAAAGTTTAACATTTAATTATACTTAGTATCAAGGACATATACTGATAACAGATAACGATGTTTATGTTTATACATTTTATCAGTTTCTTAAATCGTTTTAGTGTTGTGATTTGATTTTCATTAGATAATATTGTTGGCTAAATGTCGACCTTACGTTACCAATTGAGAGGGACAAAGAAAATGGTGACATCGAAATGCTTTGCAAATATCTTATGATTTAAGGGTACATGTAATTTACTTCGTCGAATAAACAAATGGTTTAGAAAAATAAATTCTATCGAATGTAGCCTCAACAAGCGGAAGAATAAAGTTTTCAGGGTAATGGAAACTATCAATCAGCCTTACACCATGGTTTAACGATGTATTTTGCCAAACTTTGATATCTGATAATAATGATAAATCTTATACAACCTTTTTAAGATAAATAAAAATAACTATATATGAGTAAAGACGATATGTTACGTTCTAAAACTTTTACATACTTCAAGTAAACACAATTTTCCTCTCAATACGTTACACTCAAGTGGGAATCAGGTCCATTATGACCCTTTTGTTTTCCTTAATTTTCATATCGACATTCGGCAAAATCATAAGATACCTTAAAACATTTTGTATTCAATTACTCACATGTGTATGGATAATAATACGACGTTCACATGCACGGATTTTTTTCCTCTTGAATCTAGGAGCTGAAAATCAAAATTATCATCGTCGGATACTCACGGTTGATTAACATGTATCATAACATGTAATGGGTCTGATAAATGCCAATGGTTCGGCCGTTGGTATCAGACGATGCAGAATAACAATCAACAATTCCTTAACTTACATCCAAATTGATCGACCTTCATTCGGCTTAATACGCATTATAATAAATAATCGGCGAGGTGTTACAAGTGATGATCATCTGAATGTAAGTTAGAGACGAACAGAACAAACTACAAAGTTTATTCCTACATTTGATGCAAAGAAAGGTCATCGCAAAATATAGAATATCATTGCTGTGTAATTTCTAAGAACATATCTAAAGAGGAAGTTGGAACCCTAAATGCTATCATAAAGGAGTCCTACGATTAAATGCTCTGTACTGTTCATATAAATTGAGCATAACTCCAATCACATTTCCCTTGTTGCTGGCCTTTTTGTATTTACTGGTCTGGAATTTTTAATGTTTTAAGTGGTGCACTCTTTCACTAAACTATTTCAATAAGACATGATTGGAACACTTCTTGACTATATTTTATTGACAGCAAATAGGCGATGCCAATTTGCTGCAGTCGTTATTTTCAAACCAAAAATTATTGTCATATTTAGATTCTTCTAGGTGAACTATTCGCAACTTTTGAAGGCAATACTTCAATGTAGGATTGTCTATAACAATGTGTCTTGAATTTTCAGACAATAACATTTACTGTATCTTAACAAAATTGCGATCGTGGCCGTGAGAAAAGTGAGCCTTTCTGAGAGAAAAGTAATATAGCATGTTATGTATTTGACACTGTATATTACTGCTGAAATGTTGTTTAAGGCATGTCAAATCATTCCTGTTGACACTCGCTTGTCATGGAATAGTAAGAAAGTGTCACATTGAAGGTTTCATGATAACCTCAGTATGAACACATCTGCGGATGTTTTGTAGATTGACAATTTCACCATTTTCTAGTCTAAATGTTGTTTAGCCAGTGCTAGGAGGCGAGACGGTATTTTGCAATTACCACTACAGTCAATGAATCGGTTCAATCAAAGCGAGCTTTCTACATTTTCAATTTAGGGATTCCTTTTTTCCCCATCTTGGCTTTGGTATATATGTGCAATATTCGTTCTATTAGTCAGAATATTGGTCTTAATGTATCTACAAGACGGTACACTTCTTTTTAACAAAACCAGGACAAATCGCTAGAATATGAAAAACATGCAATCGAATTTTGTAATGGAAAGCAATTTGTAATGTGCTTGTTTAGTTGATTTGATACCAGTTTCATACTCATTATAAAGCATTTAAGCCGCCTGCAGTTGTCTTTCAATTCATAGACTAAACCATTTTTTTGTCAATTCTCAAATAATAATCATATGCAGCTTAAGCTAATGAATTCTAATGAATTATTAATAATAATAAACAACAAGCAATTATCATAGTATTTAAAGCAATACAGAAATCCCCTACCGGTTAGAACCCCAACAACATTCTGAAAGGCCATGACCATTCATGATTTATGCCAATGTGGAAGACATGAATGAACTTAACTAGCTCTGAATTTGTCTGTATCATAGTTAAGTTAAGTTTCCCTGCCTAGTAAGCATAACGGTTAATCAAAAGATCCAATTTTCTCAGGAGGTATATATATATAACTATTGTTTCATCTTTTTTTTCTTTTTTAAGTAAATTTGTTTGAAAAAGTCCAAGTTCTTTAAAAGTGATCTTAAGAAACAGATTTTAGAAACAGACAGACGGACTGACATACACTCTCAGGGTAGGGTAAATCTTTAAACATCCCTGGTTGGTGCCAGAATGAAACATTTTTAAGTTAAAATTTAAAATATATATTTATTATACATAATCATATAATTTATTAGTTTAGCGCCTGGGTTTCCATGAATTGTTTTCATGTTGAAGTCTTCTTTCAAACTTTAAATGGTATATTTGAAGATTGATATTCTTTCAGTTTTCTTCGTTGTTACTATAAATGGTATTTACTTAAAACTTAAGATAATTGATCTAAGTCAATACTCACATCATATATTAATACGATGTTCGTAAGTCTAGCATCTTTATGTCAAGAGTTCTTTCCTCTTTAAGTAAATCCATGAAAAATCAAAGTTTAAGGAGAAGATAATTCTGGAAATATGGACACTAGATTTATAAACTTTGTCATACTATTATAATGTGGGAGTTTAAAGTTTGATGTAAATCCTTTAAGAAATGAAGTTTGAAGTAAAAAAAAATAATTCCTAGAAAAGAAAATCTAAATTCAAAGAGCGGGGGTGCATAATTCTGAAAATGGAGATTTTACTCTGTAAATACTTTTCGCGGTCGTCGTTGCTGTGTGAATAAAACAGCTCTCTATATAACAAGTCGATCTTAAAATGTTGTGCATAAATCATACTGACTGTCATCTATTCATATTTCAAGTTTCATAAAAAATATTTTCAGTACTTTTTAGTTATGATAAATATTATTATAGTGGCCATATTGATAGTCTAGTAGTTGCCATAGCAACCACAATTTTCAACAAATGAAAAAAGACGTGCATAAACTCCAGATTGCCATCTACCCATATTTCAAGTTTCATAAAAAAATTTAGTACTTTTGCCTCATCACGGGATCCAGTTTTGTGGACAAACGGACTGACGGACGGACGAACGGACGTATTGGCGGACGGAAGGACAGTCAAACGTACGGACAATCCTAAATTTCCTCAGATAAAACCGGTATTGGACTAAAAGCACACTTGTTTATTACAAGTTTTTTTCTTTGTTATTAAATGGCTTTCATTTTTATTTTGAATTGATCTTTATCGAAGCATTAATTATTTTTTTCATTTATATTATTTTATTTTATTCGTTAGATAGGCCTGTCAAAAAGACATGCTCCCATTTGCTAAAACAATTGTTATTTTTCCAAATGGAAGTAAGAATAATCATATTTGCAATTTAGATAATAATTGGTGCTGTTGCTATTTTCATTTTCCTGATGCACCTAATTTTACGGTTAAACATTTCGCAATTGGATGGATCTAGACTTTTTCACCGAAAGGTAAAAATCAAATGACAAAAACTCACAGCTAATAATGGCATGGGTGCTGACCTACAATTGCATTAAAAACAAACAAACATATTATCAATTCCTTAATATATTTGGCATAAATGAACTATTACAAGCACAAATTTGATTCATACATACATGTATAAATATCGATAGTGTTATAATTTTTATTCGGGATCTTCATATACAACTGTAATAGAAACTGAATATTGATGCATTCTTTTTCACATAAAAATGAATATTGACACATGTGTCGAAAACTTAAGAAAACTCGGCATTTTGACATCGTTATCATTAACAAGAATGAAATATTGATGCGTCTGTTACATGAATGTGCTGAATCAATACCGGTTTGTATGTCTTATACACAATAAAAGTTGCTATCCTTAGCATACT